AGATAAACGATCTAACTAGAGACAGATAAACGATCTAACTAGAGACAGATAAACGATCTAACTAGAGACAGATAAACGATCCAACTAGAGATAGATAAACGATCTAACTAGAGACAGAAGTTCGCAAGGGGAGGATTGGAAAAGAGCCCGAGGAATGAAGATAAGTTGGTAGAGGGGCGCAGACAGGGAGCCTCCATAAAAAAAAAAAGAAAACACACCAGTCCCTTCAGAAATCGGAGAGACGAGGTGGTGGGGTTGTGGGGGGGGGGGGGGGAGTAATAATCTCAGTCCTTTAACAAATTAGAGAGAAAAAAAGGGGGGGGGGGCTAGAGGATCCAAAGTCCCAAGAGCAGAAGACGAGCCACGGTGGAACCTATGACTGTAGACAATAGATAAGCCACTGTGTAGCTTATGACAGTAGACAATAGATGAGCCATTTTGTAACTTATGACAGTAGACAATAGATGAGCCACTGTGTAACTTATGACTGTAGACAATAGATGAGCCACTGTGTAACTTATGACTGTAGACAATAGATATGCCACTGAACTTTTGACTGTAGACTATAGAAGAGCCACTGTGGAACTTATGACTGTAGACTATAGATGAGCCACTGTAACTTATGACTGTAGACAATAGATGAGCCACTGTGTAACTTATGACTGTAGACAATAGATGAGCCGCTGTGTAACTTATGACTAGACAATAGATGAGCCACTGTGTAACTTATGACTGTAGACAATAGATATGCCACTGAACTTTTGACTGTAGACTATAGAAGAGCCACTGTGGAACTTATGACTGTAGACTATAGATGAGCCACTGTAACTTATGACTGTAGACAATAGATGAGCCACTGTGTAACTTATGACGGTAGACAATAGATGAGCCACTGTGTAACTTATATGTAGACTATAATGTGCGCAGAGCAGAAGATGAGCTACTGTTGAACTTTTTACTTTAGACAGATGTGAGCAGAGCAGAAGGTGAGCCACTGTGGAAATTATGACTGTAGACAATAGATGTGCGCAGAGCAGAAGATGAGCCACTGTGTAACTTATGATTGTAGACAGTAGATGTGCGCAGAGCAGAAGATGAGCCACTGTGGAACTTATGACTTCAGACAATAGATGTGCGCAGAGCAGAAGGTGAGCCACTGTGGAACATATGACTGTAGACAATAGATGAGCCCATGTGTAACTTATAACTGTAGACAATAGATGAGCCACTGTGTAACTTATGACTGTAGACTACAGATGTGCGCAGAGCAGAAGATGAGCCATTGTGGAACTTATGACTGTAGACTATAGATGAGCCACTGTAACTTATAACTGTAGACAATAGATGAGCCACTGTGTAACTTATGACTGTAGACAATAGATGTGCGCAGAGCAGAATATGAGCCACTGTGTAACTTATGACTGTAGACAATAGATGTGCGCAGAGCAGAAGATGAGCCACTGTGTAACTTATGACTGTAGACAATAGATGTGCACGGAGCAAAAGATGAGCCACTGTGGAACTTATGACTGTAGATAATAGATGTGCATGGAGCAGAAGATGAGCCACTGTGGAACTTTTGACCGTAGACAATAGGTGAGCCACTGTGGAACTTTTGACCGTAGAAAATAGATCTGCACGGACAAGCAAGACCTCTTAAAGCAGCTAGAGTAGTGTATTGGCTAGACGCTTTCCTGCCGATATGACAGTCTCGGGTTCCAGTCGTTATCAGGATGGATTGTTTTCAATAACTGCTGTTGGACATCCAGTTCAAGCCCGCCTAACACGAGCTGTAGAAAATATCAGGAGGAGGAAAAGGCGACCAAGGTGGTGTTGATGACATTACTGATGGAGTGGTCCAGAAGCAAATGTGGGTCTGTTGGTACAAAACTGACGCGTGGCTTGCGTGAACATAATCATTACCCTGACTGTGATCCCCGACTCCCCTAGGGAAATCATATGATGATGTTGGTATGTCAGTACAAGTAAATGTTCCCTCACACGCCACTCTCGCATTGGACATAGGAAGCTATTTGGTTGCGTATGCTTTACAGGACGTTGTAGAACCAACCCCAGCAATTTTTTTTAGCTACCTGTGATTTCACTAAGCAATTTTACGTTCAGTACTATACCATTGTTACTAAACGGTCGGCAATCGATATCACTGTCGAAACCAACGCAAGGTGGTCTGCTGCCATCGTCGTCTGCGTCTGGGATTGAACCTGGTACCACTAAATAACGAAGCGCATTTGCTACACTTAAGCCACAGAATCCGTCGATGATGATGACGATATATTTATATAAGTAAAGAAGCCTTTTCTGTGCCTTCAGGCGCATTGGGCATATAGGGCTTGACCTATATTTTATGCATCAATCAGCAATCGGGTTGTCAGCGTCAATCTGATCGCCTTTACTTCCCATGACTACCTGGCACCTGTTTAACGCTGCGTCGACCTGGAAGCCAAGGTCATCTTTGAAACAAAAGTCCGTCTCCGTAAAGACTTGAACTCCGGCTGTCCGATCCCAGGCGAGCGTCTAGTGGCTCCACCACACCGGCTGCCAATGATATTTATATACTATTACAAAAACAACACGGGTGACTCATACAGCCACACTAATGGCTGTCTTGCACAACACCACAAGCCAACAGCCAGCCCTGTTTCCTAGGGAACTTTCCGTGCCTCCTCCCTTTGATACCGCCCCGTGTCAGTGGCCTGTTATACAAATGGCTTTCCAATGTTGGCCATGTTTGCCAAGTCTTTTAGTAATTGTCTCCATCCCGTCTACTTTCTGTGCTGGCTGTCGGAACTCGATCGACTGATTGTTGTATGTTGTAGGAGTGGATTTGGTGACTGTCAGTCGGTTCAACCAGGCCAGGTTTGGTTTAACACAGGTCGGTTCAACCAGGCCAGGTTTGGTTTAACACAGGTCGGTTCTATTACGACGTTGAAATGATTTCTAATAGTTTTAACTGTTTTAGTCGGAGACAGTTGTTTTCTAACGGTCTCTCCCCTCGTTTGTTTACTTTAGAGTACCTTTCTGAGTCTCCGTGAATTGAAACAACACAGCCACGTGACAAAGCAAGCTAATTAACAATTAGAAGAGGAAAAACAATTAAAACTATTGTCTGCAACTAAAACAGTTAAACCTGTTAGAAATCTTTTCAAGACAACAATCAAATCGTCCTGAGTTCAACCAAATATGAGCTGGTTAAAGAAGCCTAACTGAAACAACGACCGATTTACTTCTCTGGTCTATATTGCATACATTTTCCTTGGTACCCACATTTGCAGCTGACTGTCCCTCTATCTCTTCACGTGTGTAGGTATTTCTGTTATCTGTATTTCCCTTACCTCGTTTTCACCCCTTCCGCCTTCTTGTTCTTCAACGTCGATAAGTTAGACTGTCGGCTTGTTGCTGGTCTTTCTCCTCCATCTCTCTTCCTCCTTCCCCCTCGCCTTCTATTCGCCACTGACAAGATGGCTGAAAGTTCCTCCCCTTTTTTTGATTAAACACCGTCTCCGTGGACATGAACCAAGCTATTGACTTTGTCCCTGTGATTTTGTTAAGATCCTCTTCCCAACTTGGAGTTCCAACCTCATCACCCAAAGACGCCTATCGCGATTAGCTTATAGTTATCCTTCACTGACCCTGCAGACGAAGTTTGGACGATACTGTTCCCCCTCATTTTGTGAGCCGATGAAGTCAACAGATAAAACAGGTCCAAATGTTCTGTCCCCCCCCCCCCCCCCATAATATTCTTTATGCTTCTGGTGGTATGTAGGCGGTTGCTAGTCGAGTTAAATGGTCGAACCATTTCACTTTTATTTCTAATAAAACCTAGCACTGCTACTACCACCACTTTCCTTCAAAAGTAATTATAAACATATGCAGAATAGAGAAAGTTGTTCCGGACTGATAAAACTCTGCGGGGATATGAACAACTTTAAGGTGACTTATCCTTGGTGTCTCAAAATGCGCCAGGAATCAGAGGTACAGATTTTTTCATAGATCCTCTAATCACAATTATGAAAATTTCAGAGCTGACAGTATGATTAATTTTTCATCATTTATTTATTACATTTCACGTTTATTCTGACTGGTTGTGCGCGATTAATTTATATTTATCCTGTTAACAGTTTTAAATGATTGTGAACTGATTAGTGATTGTCCCTAGACTGACTGTCTGATGTTACCCTGTATTCTGACTAATGTTGTCTATATTGCATACTGATTGTCTGATGTTACCCTGTATTCTGGATGATGTTGTCCATATTGCGGACTGACTGTCTGATGTTACCCTGTATTCTGACTGATGTTGTCCATATTGCAGACTGACTGTCTGATGTTACCCTGTATTCTGGATGATGTTGTCCATATTGCGGACTGACTGTCTGATGTTACCCTGTATTCTGACTGATGTTGTCCATATTGTGGACTGACTGTCTGATGTTACCCTGTATTCTGACTGATGTTGTCCATATTGCGGACTGACTGTCTGATGTTACCCTGTATTCTGACTGATGTTGTCCATATTGCGGACTGACTGTCTGATGTTACCCTGTATTCTGACTGATGTTGTCCATATTGCGGACTGACTGTCTGATGTTACCCTGCATTCTGACTAATGTTGTCCATATTGCGGACTGACTGTCGGATGTTAACCTATATTCTGACTGATGTTGTCCATATTGCAGACTGACTGTCTGATGTTACCCTATATTCTGACTGATGTTGTCCATATTGCAGACTGACTGACTGATGTTGTCCATATTGCAGACTGACTGACTTATGTTGTCCATATTGCAGACTGACTGATGTTGTCCATATTGCAGACTGACTGATGTTGTCCATATTGCAGACTGACTGATGTTGTCCATATTGCAGACTGACTGTCTGATGTTACCCTATATTCTGACTGATGTTGTCCATATTGCAGACTGACTGACTGATGTTGTCCATATTGCAGACTGATATGCTGGGCTGACTGACGAGACAAGATGCTGCAGCGCTTATCACAGTACTCCAGGTACGGCTACGTCATCCTTCTGTCCTGTATCTTGTACGTGCCAGTGAAAGCAGCCACACCTCCATACTTCACTGACAACCAGAGCGTGGACATCAGCAAAGAATACCACAATGTGCCTCAGTTTGATCATTTCAACGAACCCTACGACCAGCGAGTCTTTGACAAGCTAAACATTGACATTGTCACCGTGGAGCCATGGTCAATACATGTGAAATGGCGGCTGACGAACCTAACGCACTTTGACAGCGTTGTAGAGTCTACTTTTTTGTGCGAAACTTTGAACGGAAAAATCGTTTCGGATAAATTGCATTCAAATACCGATTCTTTCAACTTTCAGATGTTGCACCCCAACACCAAGTATGTTATCTGTGTCCACTTGCTGGAGAAATCCAGGTCAACAAACACAAGCATTCTTCATTACAACTGCCAGACTTTTTCAACGATCCCGGTGATCAGGTCAGACAGTATTGTAGGTTTGGCCTTAACTATTGGCTATCTGTTGTTAGTTGCTGCACTGGGATATTTGGCCTGGCACAGGAGAGCCCGCAAGATCAAGAGTATTGAAGAGGAGAAGTTGCACGCGGAGGAGAATGAGGGAGACAGACAGGACGACTACTTTCAGTTTCTCAAGACTGCTGAACGAGGAGGGATTCCTAACTATGCGTCTGAGGACGCCAGGCGTATGGACATGTATGGAGCCAACGGCGGGGAAGATTTTAAAGCCAAACCTAAACGTGCAGATTGTGTTGGCGCCTGTGTTCCATTCGACGAGAAAGAGGAGGAGGATTTAGTGGAATACAACCCCACCAAGAGAGAAATTTCATTTTAATCTGTCTGTGGTCAGTATCGATAGTTGAATGTTGTGATCGACGTGGAGGATGCTACAGCTAAGGTGACGCCATTTTGTGAATATGAGAACTGCTCCTTGTCTGTGTGAGAACAACTAGACATGTAACGCGGGATCAGTGTGACACAAACACCTTTCCGAACTAAAACAGTTGACATTTGGATTCGAACTCTGATCGTGAAAATTAGATGGTAAACATTCTGTTTTCTCAACAGAACGGACGTAATTTGAAACGAGGCATGGGCAAGTTTTTGGTTCTGGGTCTTGTGAGGAAGCCGATGGTGTCGGGAGTTCAGAGACGGCCATCTTTGTGCAGAAATCGTCGTGCAAAAGCTTTCTTGATTGGTTTATGTGGCTAGGGCCTGTTCATGTTATGTTATGTTAGTTTCAGCTTCATAGCAAACTGGTCACACCAAAGTTGCTCCGCTCCTGTGCCAACGAAACACACACAGAATTTTCATCACAGTCCCTTGTGGAGAGATTGATAGACTACTGTATCGTTCTGCATGTATACGAGATGATCACCGCAGTCGTATCGCCAGACCTCGAAATATTCAATAATGTATTTTCACAAGTTTAATGAAGAAGCTGCCAGAGTGATCAGAAGAGATGGAATGAAGAACAAGATGTCAGGAGGAAAAAGTCGACACTGAATCCTTGCTACATTCCATGAAAAGCAAGTAAAATGTTTTGTTGACTTAGACAGAAGGTATTTTGGTGCCATACAGTGCAATTCATACGCCACAAAGGAAATGGACAGATAATATCAAAGAAATTCTACACCATTAACAATGTCAATAGCTGAGGTGTCCAGAAGAGGAAGAAGTGAACCTGCATCTCATTCGACACCCAAGTGACGACAACGATGCTCAAGAAGATCAGAAGAAAGACAACTTATGAAGTAAATAAGAAACACGAAGAAGGCGAAAGTTTTATGTACCGAATGAGAACAATGACAAAATTTCTGCCATCGTACTTAAAGCGCATCTACATCATTATTGTTCAATTTGTCAACCTCCGGGTCGCGACCTATTTCTGGGTCAAACGATCTTTTCACATGGATCCCCTATGACTATTGGAAAACACATATTCATTGAAGTTATGAAGAAAACTAATAGTTTGGGGGTCGCCACAACATGAGAGAACTGTATCAAAGGGTCGCCACAACATAAGGGAACTGTATCAAAGGGTTGCGGCATTGGAAGGTTCAGAGCCACTGGTCTATATTGTCCCTAACTCGCGTATTCATAATATTCCTACTTCTGCTTATTAGCAATGATGTGTTTTTATGCAACTGTTTATATCGTTTAAATACAAGTGTCAGTGTTTGTTCTGTGTAATTCGGTGTGCTTTATGCAGGGACGTAGAGTTGTACCACATGAACTGAGTGATATTGTGATTTGTCAGGATATTGCTTCTGCCCACTATTGTTTGTCCGTTAACTCCTTCACTATAAAGCGTTCGTTTGCTGAATACTCTCACTATGTTAATACTTATCTTAGTGTCATTTTTCTTATTTTGTTGCTGCAATAAATCATTCCGTCCCAGCCGTGACACTGACTGGTTCGATCACATCATTTTATTAGTTTAATTCATCGAGATTTACAGATGTGCTCTGTGGCGGCGACAGTTCGAAACTGACAAAGTCTTGTATTCACATTTGTCTTCTACTGGAAGAGCTCAAGCCATAATGTTGCAGGCTACTCACTCGGAAGACTGGACCCCCCCCCCAGGCCCCCCACGCCCCCACGTGGTGTAGCGGCTAGACACTCGCCTGCAGATCAGAAGGTCGTGGATTCAGGTCATGACATTTTTCTTTCGATCCAGCTTAAAATGGGTAGCAGTTCCAGTCCTGGGAAGTAAAGGCGGATGGTGTGATATAGATGGCATACCCCACCGAATGCCGATTGACCTATACAATGTAAGTCTAGCCCTATATGCCCAATACACCTTAAGGCGTGAACATTTCTGTTTACTGTGGAAAGTCTGATATGAAGTTCTGGAGGTTTCACGTTCTGTTTCCAAATATGTCATTTGCTGGTAATCGTGATAAGGATTGAGGGTTGTCTTTGTTTTCCTGGTGAGATCCCACTCCACTTCCTGTCCAGGAGCTGTCACTGAAGCCCTAATTACAGCCATTTTATAGTTGAAAACAGCCGTGGTAGCATGTGGTTAGACTCTCGGCTACCAGCCCAAAAATCTTGGGTTCGCATCCCTTTCAAGGTGAAATTGCTTCTTACTTTTTCAAAAATTTGTTTGCCATTTTTTTTTAAAATATTGAACTTGGCCCTCCAGGTCGACCTTGTTTGAACGGGGACCAGAAAATAAACAGTAGCAAGAAGTAAAGGCGACCGGCATGGCGTGGCCACATCACCCATGGCGTGGCCACATCACCCATGGAGTGGCCACATCACCCATGTTGTGGCCAACATCACCCATGGCGTGGCCACATCACCCATGGCGAGAAGTGTTGCCTATCTAAATATGGGTCTAGCACCATATATTTGATACGCCAGCGGCGTGCTAAGTGCCCTATACATGTACTGTTGACTCACTATTGTATGAACTATTGTATGAACTATTGTATGAACTGTTGTATGAACTATTGTATGAACTATTGTATGAACTATTGTATGAACTATTGTATGAACTATTGTATGAACTATTGTATGAACTATTGTATGAACTATTGTATGAACTATTGTATGAACTATTGTATGAACTATTGTATGAACTATTGTATGAACTATTGTATGAACTATTGTATGAACTATTGTATGAACTATTGTATGAACTATTGTATGAACTATTGTATGAACTATTGTATGAACTATTGTATAAACTATTGTATGAACTATTGTATGAACTATTGTATGAACTATTGTATGAACCTAAACGTATACATACTGTGAACACATCTACAATGGAACCAGTGCTGGGTGTTGGCTAGAAGATCACATTAAATGTCGTTTTAACATTTTTGTATGGGTGTGTGAGCTCGTGATCTGTCAGTAAGCTAAGTCTTTTGTAAAAGTTCCCAAAATGTATACCCTATTAGTTGTTAGTCGAGGTCCAGCTTTACTGCAGACGGGTGGCCCCAGAACGTCTGCGTTCCTGCGCCAGTGGCAGTGGTATCTAATGCCCTTTACTAGTAAAAAAAACGTATCGGTCCTAGCAAAATCTTGAAGCTTGCACATGCAAAGTAAAAATGTACAAGGCAGCTGTCAGATGTGCCAACACTAACAGACCCACACCAGAATTGCAGCCCACTGCTGGCGCAAACAGTCAATGATGAAAGCCAGAAAAGACGCCCAAGTTGCAGAAATGTAATTGTGAAAAAGAGCGATGACGTCGGTGGGAGACGTAGAAGGCGTCTTGAATGACAGTCACTCACACAAATATCAATATCCATATTTCAAAGACGGTAATCATATTTCTTTAGGCACGCAATGAAAACAACAACAACAACAACGACCACGAGTACATCTTTACAACAAGAAAATTGGTGGCAATTAAGACATTGAGAGAAACAACACGAGCTCGGTAAATTTGTATTCTGTCTTCTATGGATGGAAAATCGAGAAGGTAGCGCACAGCCCTGCAAGCTGTCTATCTTGTACACTTAAGTATAATGGCGCATAGCCTCGTTCTGTATCCTTTCCATCATTTCCATCTGCTTATGGCTGAGAGTCAGGATCGCCATCGCGTATTCAAAAACAGAAAGGACCAGACTCTGGTATAGAAGACATAGATGACGCTGCTCAAAGTTTGGCGTCGCCATCACTCTCATCGCAGCCAGACCACGCTTGGCTTTTATTATCTTCTTCTTCTTTTTTGCGTTAGGTTCGTATGCTCAGATCAGACCATCAGGTGGGTTGCCTCTATGAACTCGCATGACAGCTGCAGGTCCTGCAAGGTTCCCCATAGCTTGCTCAGCACACTTTGCTCTTGAGGCCAGGTGTCTTTTCGAAGTTGTAGGTAGAGTGGTCAGGTCTGCAGAATGTACTCAGGTGTTTGCGGTCCTGTTTGACAGGCACACTGTGCGGACTGTGCAATCTTTATTTTATGCATGTGGTAGTTGAGCCTGCAGTGTCCTGTTCGTAGACGGAAAATTGTTTTATGCTGCTTTCTGTTGAGTCTGCTGATGGGGTCTTGTGGATGTTTACTGTTAGTTTGTTCTCTCCACAATCCCTGGTATTTTCCTTTGATAAGTGTTCTGATTTCTGGTAATGACAATGAATGGGCGTGTTGTTTTTCCTTTGTTCTATTTTTTGCAAGTTTGTCTGCTAGCTAATTTCCTGGTATGCCGCAGTAAGCCGGGATCCACTGGAGAACAATTTGATTGTTTTTTGTGTCTGTTTAGCTGACGGGTCAGTTCTCTTTCTATGTTGTCTCGTGGATCCCTACGAGTCGCCTGGAGGACTGACATGCAGTCACAAAGGAAAAAAATTTTGCTGTTTTTAATTTTTTCTTTTCCCGAGAACTTTGACTGAATCAATAATTGCTTGCTGCTCTGCTCTGAAGTTTGTTGAGAGTCTTCCGGAGGCGCATGACGTTTCTACTGTGGTCCCATCTTGCAGCATGATGACCGATCCAGCTCCTCCATTTTTGTCTGCTCCCTCCAATGATCCATCAGTGTATACGTGTGTCCATTTGGGTTTTGTATAACAGTTGTAGACATGTTCAAGGGTCTTTGCACGCAGTACTAGGTCACATTCTTCAGCCTTTATTTCTATACCTGGAATTGTTGTTGTGACTGTATATTTAGGCTGTAGGTCTATGCTGTATGCCTGGATCATTTCCCATGTTCAAGGCTTTTATCATAATCTGATCAATTTGCTCAGTATAAGCAAGTCTTTGATCAAACGGTATCCCCAGATATTTAATTTCATGCGTTCTCTTTTCACAACCTCAGACCTAAGACATGTCAGAACACAGACTAACAACTGGTGTTGGAGTTTTCACAATATGGTTATTCAAAGAGAACCATGTCATTGCCGCTTTCGTTGGGTTGACTAGTGTACCAACTTCACCACACCAAGTGCTTATGCGGTTTAATTCATTTGAAGTTCTTAGCAACCTTCTCTCTACCCTTGCCCTGACGATACACTCACACATCGTCAGCATATGACAGTGTTCTTCGGGTCCTGTGATTTGCTCGCCTGTGACTCTTAATGTGTAAACTTTGAACAACACAGGAGGTAATGGTGATCCCTGTGGCAGGCCGGGATGTTGGTTCAGAAGTCACATCTAAACACTACTTTTCGTTGGAAGAGGGCGGAAGAAAGCCAGTGAAGCAGGATAGATAGAAGGTGTTAGATAGTTCAATTTCCTGGCATGAAAAGACAAGGATAGAAGATGTTAAACATTTAAACATCGTGACATGGGAAGGCAAAGATAGAAGATGTTAGATCAATATCGTGACACGGGAAGGCAAAGATAAAAGGTGTTAGGCAGTTCAATTTAGTGACACTGGAAGACAAAGATGTTAGATCAATATCAGGACAGGAGAAGACAAAGATAGAAGATTTCAGATCAATATCGTGACATGAAAACACCAATATAGAAGGTGTTAGTTCAATATCGTGACATGGTAAGGTAAAGATACAAGGTGTTAGACATTTAAACATCGTGACATGATAGATACAGACAGAAAGTGTTAGATATTTAAATATCACGGCATGGGAAGACCAAGATAGAATGTGTTACAGGGTTCAATATCGTGACATAAGGGACATCACTATCATAAATGTTTGGCAGGACACGAGACAGAAGGTTGGGGCAATTGTGCCGTCCAGCACCACACCGTGCGAACTTTAAGAAGAAGTACAGGTTTCACACCCGTACCTTTCACACGTACAACAAGTGATAACAACCAAGAACAGACCCTCAGTTCAACAAGCATGTAGAAAAGAAGAGGCCAATAATTAGATTGGATTAGGACGAAAAGCTCAAATATCGCAGCCTAGCTGTAAGAAATGTCAACCCAATATCTCCACGGAAATGACGAGTGACTGCTGGTGAGCTGATGTGACAAAGCTTGCCGAAAGGATTGTGCATCTTGTCATTTCTTCCGTATTTTCTTCTTTTCATCATTAATGTATGCATGTGTGTGTGTGTGTGTATGTGTGTGCACGCGAGAGAGGGAGAGTGTGTGTGTGTGGGGGGGGGGGGGAGTGGGAAGCGCGTGTGTGCCTGTAGAATAAATATTCTAAAAAATATTTCTTTTGTTGGCTGATAAAGTCTTTGATCTACAGGTGAGCTTGTTGACTATTTATTTTCTTCACCAAGTTTCTGTATCGCTTGCCCGTGTACGGCTGTACTCAGTATGTCCACGGAGAAGAAAACTGCCTGCTGGTGCCCTCTCCTCTGTCAGCTTGGAAACACTCTGCAGCCAACAAGTCAAATCTATTTACTGCCTGCATTTATTGCCTTTGATGGCGGCAGAGGACCAGATTAGGAAAGGCAGAGAGAAGATCAGAAACTCATGAAGAAATTAACATTAAATACAGTGAAGCAAACCAAGTACTGGAACAGCTAGCGCCACCCCCCCCCGCCCCCCCACCCCATCACCAACCCTTTTACAGCACAAGACAGTGCCGATCAGCACAAAGAAACATCTCATACAATGTCCCCCCCCCCCCCCCCCCCCCCCCCCCCCCCCCCCCCCCCCCCCCCCACCAACCCTCCTACAGCACAAGACAGTGCCAATTAGCACAAAGAAACACCTCATACAATGTATGCATATTTATTACCACCTTTTGCTAACATGTCATACATGGCCGGTCACAACAAACCAGAACAGACAATTAGTAACCATGGAAATGAGATGTAGCAGAAGGGAGTGACCAGAAGAGATACAAGCACTTTGTAGACTAAGAACAGAATGGAAATATTGCACCAGAGAAACTCACTGGTGATTGAAGCAAAAAGCAGAACTATGGTTGAGGCGGTCATTGGAGCAAGAAGCAGATTATATGTCTCCTAAAAGTAATAGAGAAGGCGAAGAAGAATAAGAAGTAGCAAAGGAAGAAGAAAAAGATAAAGCTGAAGAAGAAGAAGAAGAAGAAGAAGAAGAAGAAGAAGAAGAAGAAGAAGAAGAAGAAGAAGAAGAAGAAGAAGAAGAAGAAGAAGAAGAAGAAGAAGAAGAAGAGATAGCTAAAGTGATGTTTTAGGTCCCCACGTATAGTGCAATTGCCATTAAATGTTTCGGTTAAAATTAATTTTTAAAACTTACACCTATTTAATGGGTTTGACCACCTTTGGAATGTTGCCAGAACAACATCTACTTCCGATCTACTCGTGATGTCTATTGAGAAACGTTTCACGAACACAGTATAGCCCCCAACCCCAACCTCAACCCCACCTCCTCAATTATTCATGTAAAACAGGCATGCCATCTACAACTCCAGGGATCTGTGGTGTTTATTAGTTCCCCTCTTCATACAGATGATACATAATAACCGCTTTACTGTAGCTCTAGCAGTCCCTGATGTCGCCAGCCTCAGCAGCGTGGCCCTTTGCCTCAGCCTTGAGCCACTTTGGGAATCACTGTACCTCGTGTTCCCGCCTATAGCATGTTGATGCCTACATCGTGTGCCACGTTACATCCAACTCACGACTATTGACAATTAGTGTTTAGCTGTATTTGTGTGTTTCTCAATTTGTCTGTGTAAGTACACACAGAAACACAGAAACACAGAAAGAAGGCAGAGACATAGACAGACATATATTTAAAAAAGCATACAGACAGACATGTAGCTAGGTGGGTAGGTAGGTAGCTAAGTAGGTAGGTTAGTAGATCAAAAGGGGAGGGGGGGACAGTCTAGGAATAAGAAGTAAAAGAAGAAATAGAAAGACAAGAAGAAGGAAGAAAAAGAAGAAGGAAGAAGAAGGAAGAAGAAGGAAGAAG